TTACTCGTCATAATTTCTCCTCCTATCACTCCTGTGGCACCAGAACTTTTTTGAATTGGATGTTGCTGTCTAACACGTGCAGACTCTTGGGCGTCCTCAGGTGGTACGCACCCCACCTGAGCCCTCCCCACAGTCATGGAAGAGGCTCTTTTGGTCCCTGTGCCCAGCATTTCGGCCTCAGGACTTAACTGAGGTCACACAGCCAGAGTCTGTGTACAGGAGTTGGGGGTGAGTGAGCCAAGTGTCTTCCACTTGTGTCCCACTTCAGCAGGACCCACTCAAAAGAGACCCTTTCTCTTCTTGTCAACTGCAGGACAATCTTCTACAGCCTAACCCTGAGTGGGTTCTATGCTAAGGTTGAAAACCTGATGTACAGGGTTATAAAGGATTTTCCAGGGTTCAGGCCAAAGAAGCAAGGTGGCTTTCCCAAGGTCACACAGCAGCCTGAGACACTACGTCTCTGGACATCACCAGAAAATACAGGAATAATAATGGCAATGGCTTGAGAGGCTGGATGCTATGTGCCTGGTGCTGGCCTGAGCGCCGTCCCATACATTAGCTCATCCACTTCTATTAGGAAGTCCCTTGTGAGGATGGGGTGGACTGATCCTGAATCCTTTGCCCAGTGTCACACAGTGGGGAGACATCTGTGGATCTGAAGAGAATGGGGAGTGATGAGGGAGTAAGATGTAGAAGGGACAAAGAGCATCACATAGGGATTGATTCCACCATGATACAGAAAAGTCTTCCATGCATCCTAGTCAACATTCTTCCCATGTATGCTGAACCCAGAGGTTAAGCTACCTGGCTAGCATCACAAAGTAAGAGCCACCCAATCCTAACATGACCAAGCAAAGTGTCATCATATGATGTTCCAAAATGATGCTAAATCTCATAGACACTGGACATCAGGCTTGGGCCAGCGGAGCTGGTCCTGAAGGCAATCTCATATGCATCCCTAGGCAAATGAGCGGCTGTTGTTTGAGGAACCCGTTTCCATAGGGAGAGAGAGCTCTCTATCAGGATAAGATGCTGCAGTGCTGCAAGACGACAGCAGGGGGCAGCACAGGCAGCACACGCTTCTGAGCCAGGGCTGGGGGAAGATCCTTGAGCTCCTACTGCACACTAGTTTTTTTTCATCAGAACATGATGGGGAAATTATACAACCCAGAGGAGGAAACAGAGGCCCAGAGAAGCAGCAAGATGCTCCCAGATGAATGCCAAGGAAACCATAGACAGAAATCCAGGGGGGAGACTCCAGACAGTGAACCGGTGTTAGAGCCCTCTAGTATCACTTAACTTCCTTGGGGCTGGGTGCTGATTAATCACACTGTTGCGAGGACAGAATGCAGTCACGCATGCAAAACACCTCAAACAGAGCCTCACATCTCAATGAGGGTCCTTTACTGATGCTGTACAGGCACAGAGGAGTCATGTATTTTGTCCAAGGGCACACAGCTATGGCCGGGAATGTAACTCAGGATCAGAGTGCTCGTCTAGCATGCACAAGGCCCTGGACTCAAAGTTGGGGGGGTGGGGGTGGGATTGAGGTACGATCTGATGGACCAAGGTCACTGTATTAGTTACTTTTCTATTGCTATGTGCTATGATAATGATAAAACACAGTGAACAAGAAAACTTATAAAAGAGTTTTAAGTGGGCTTATGGCTCCAGAGAGACACAGGTCCATGATGGCAGAGTGGAGGTATGTGGCTGGAGTAGGAAGCTGAGAACGTACCTGTTCAATGGCAAGCACAAAGCAGAGAGCATACTGGGAATGGCATGAGGCTTTGCAACCTCAAAGCCTGTCCTCCAGTGACATATTTCCTCCATCAAGCCACACCTCCTAAACCTGCCCAAACACTGCCACCGACTGGGACCAAATATCCAAACGTCTAAACCTACGGGACACAGCTCATTCAAGCCACCACAGTCACACAGTTGGGACCGGTAAGAGGAGAGCCCCATGCAGGCTGACTGCTTCCAAAGCCATGCTTTTAACCAGTGTGTCGCCATCTATTAATACGAGCATACAAAGCGGTGGTTACTGCGTGGCATGGTGGCGCACACCTTTTTTTTTTTTTTTTAAGAAATTTTTTTTATTCATTTTACATACCAAAGATCCCCCTCTTCCCTCCTCCCACCCCTCCAGTCTCCCCCTCCCACCCCACCCCTCATTCCCTCCTACAAGAAGGTAAGGCCTCCCATGGGGAGGTACATTTAGTAGAGGTACACTTAATCCCATCACTTGGGAGGCAGAGGCAAGTGGGTATCTGAGTTCAAGGCTAGTCTGGATGAGCCAGAGCTACACGGTATGACCATCTCAAAAATAATAAACAAACAAATAAATAAATGATGCTGGTCACATAATCAGATCAAATCACACGACCACTCCCAACAGATATCATCTCACACCTCATTTACAGGGACCCAAGGCACAGAAGGACAGATGACTAGCCCAAGGTCACTCTGCTAGTACCTGAGTTCTGGCATCAAACTGCCCTCCAGTTTCCATGGCTGGGACCCTGGGAGGTGCGGGCCTGTCCCGAGAACAGGTGGTCACGACTGCAGACAGCTGCTGGGATGGTAAGCCAGGCTATCTGGCACATCCCTGAAACCATCCCACAAGCACTTACTAGGTGCCACTGGCAGGGGTCCTGGAGATGGGAGGGGCCCGGCCATTACCTGTTCTTGGGGGCTCCCTAGGATACAGGGAACAAGCAGACTGATACAGTGGGTTCCCCCTCTTTGTTCCATAACATGAGCAGGTCCCACCACTCTGTACCTCAGTTTCCTCATCTGTCAGATGTTTGTGTAAGGATTCAGAAGTGGCAGTCGAGCTCTTAGCAGAGAGCCTGGCCCCCCGGGGTGTGCTCAGCAGACAGCGCAGTGGCCACAGCATGTGGGGAGGCTGAAGAAGGGGAGGGTCTGGGAGTACCCACCAAACAAATAACCCAGCCCTTGTCAGAAGTGGCAGACTGGCTCCCGGCATGGGCAGTCCTGGCCTTCCAAACCGAAAGCAGATGGGAGGGGAGGTGAGTGGTTCCAGGCTAGTCACCCCACCTCTTTAATTAAAAAAGTCACCACTACTGCCCCCCTTTGTCCTGACCACAGAGTCCCTTACTGTGGAGCCACCCACCCTGATTCCCCAGTCAGTTCTGTGTGCCGTGGGTCCTGAGCGGGCCACACCCAGGACGGAGAAATACAGACACAGACTAGCGGTGCGGAAAGGTCGTTTGTCCAGATTTCAACCTGGGATCGTCCCAGATGCCAGACAAGGCAGAAGCCTGGAGGATGGTCAGCCAGGCCCTATAAGGGAAAAGCAGCTTGCCAAAGGGCCCAGCCTGCCAGACATGGCTGGAATCTGCTCACAAAGCCCTCTTCCAGCTGCTCCTTCATGGGGGAAGCCGTGGGCAGAGGGGCGTTGCAGGTCCCAGAGGTCAGATGGAGAGGGGCAAATGGGAATGCCACTCCTCAGCTGGGAGAGCGGGGAAGGGCCTAACCTCTATTGTTCTCTGGAATCAAAGGACAATGGGAACACTTGGTAATTAAGTGCTGGATGATAAGTTTGCTCAATGTCTGCCAGGAACCCTCCGAGGAGCCCAGCCCCCAGAGTCCCCAGGGAAAGGACTAAGATCAGAAGAGGCCATGGGAGTCAGAGACAAATGGTGTGGCCCCTGCTCCCAGAAGCCCCTACAGAGTCCCCTGAGAGCCTCAGCCTGCCCACACAGCAGTCACTGAAACACATGACAGACAAGATTTCTCGTGCAAACTCCAGTAGAGCAGGTGGAGAGTGAGTGTCTGTCTGTCTCTCTGACACACACACACACACACACACACCAGGGGTTCAGGGAGCCTTCTAAAGGAATACTAGGAGCTTTCTACCCCGGAGTAGTTACTACATGCCACACTCTTGACTGCTAAGTCCTCCAGAAATTGGGGCAGGCAGGTCTAGCTGGGCTCTGATTTCTTCACCGCAGCATTCACGCATGGCACACCTGCTGTGTTCCAGGCAGGGCCTAGAGAACGCCTCTGTAGTGTAGTGGGAGAGGTAGACAATTCATCTTCATCGAAGCCACTTTTCAAGGGAAAAAAAAGAAGTGTAATTATAATGCTAACATTTGTACTGTGATTGTTGTGCATTCTCTCAGTTTCTTTACGTGTGCAATGGGAACTAGAATATTATTTCCTGTGATGATTAAGTGAGATAACTTTTGTAAAGCATGAAGTTCAGGTTGACATACATGTAAGTGCTTAATACTTACATGTTTATCACCCATCACTTTATACTGGGGTCTACCAAAGACCTGGAGCTGGGTGTCTAATTACAAGCTCCATTGAAAGCAAACATTTTTAGAGATGGGGTCCTCGCTGCGTTGCCGAGACTAGCCTCAAACTCCTAACCTCAAATGATCCTCCTGCCTCAGCCTCCTTCATGTAACACCTATAAGCTCCATTTCGAAGATAAGAAATACGATGAAGGCAAAGGCTGTTTTGTAGTATTGAATGCCTTTAATCCCAGCACTTGGGAGGCAGAGACAGGAGGATCTCTATGAGTTCGATGACAGTTTAATCAACTACATAGCAAGTTCCAGGCAAGCCGGGGCTACATAGACTCAAAAAAGAAAAAAAAAAGAAAAAAGGAAACAAAAGAAAAAAGAAAAAGAAAAGAAAAGAAAAAGGCTGAGATTTGCGCGAGTTACAGAGGTGGAAAGGCAAAATGATCTTGGGGTGGGGGAGGGCATCTTTGGATTGCAGAGCTTCTGCACGCTTAGATTGCTTGCGGTCCCTCTGTGCCTCAGTCTCTCCACCTAGAGCGAGTAAAAGGCTACTTCACCGCGCTGGTGAGCACGCTCGTGACAACGAAGGCCTAACGGGCAGAACCGAGCCAACCTCTGCACCCACAGAGGTTCACCCAGGGAGGCCCGGGTGGGCAGGCCGCAGAGGCGCCGCCTCTCCTCACTGCCCCGCGACCTCACGCCCCTCCTTGTCACCCGCAGGTTATGCGGCGCACTGCCTGCCCCCCAACGGCTACGATGGCGGCGAGCAGAAGCCTGGGCTGGAGCTGGCGCCCGCCGAGCCCGCATACCCGGCCGCGGCGTCGGAGGAGTACAGCGACCCCGAGAGCCCGCAGTCCAGCCTGTCGGCGCGCTACTTCCGCGGGGAGGCGGCCGTGACCGACAGCTACTCCATGGACGCCTTCTTCATCTCCGACGGGCGCTCGCGGAGGCGCCGGGCTGGGGCCAGTGGGGACGTGGCGGGCGCGGGCGACGCAGGCGGCGGGA